ATCCCAATTGGGATTGGGACCATGACACTGAGAGGGTAATAGCACAGGAGGCTGTCTTGCCCCTGAAAGGTGTAACAGTTAGCAGATTGTTTCATGTGTAGCTCTACCTGAAAGGAAAGGCCAGAGTGGAGTTAGGTTTACCACAAGGACAGAGTAACCAGTTTAGGCCTGTCTGTGGTGATGGAGAGACTTGTAATTGTTTGAATCTTGGGAGAAAGGAACAGACTGAGGTGGTTAGAATCTGATGTGACCCTTGTGAGGGCAGAAATCTGGGATATAAATTTTGTAAAATAAATATATCCGGTGTTTAGGCTGCAGAAGCCTGTCAGAAATAATCCATTTTAAGGAAAAGGCCATGAATGATAAAAGGCTGAACAAATATCATTCTGTTGTGGTTGAAGGCATACGTTCTACAATGTCAAGCATTAGTGCACTTAAATTCCATCCTAAAGCTGTACCCACTAAATAAGTCTGTTTCAGCCAGGCTTTCTTTGGCTGTGTTAGGAAACCCACGTCTGTCCAAGTGTTCTTTTCAAATTCTGTAAACCATCTTTGTTGCTCATCTTAAGCTCTTAAAATTCTTGTGCCAGTGCCCTACTCACACACAACAAAACCTACCTCACGGCAACAAGCCTTTACATGTACTACTATACATTCTAACTGATGGAGAAAGGTGTAGGGAAGATTTTATTTAAAAAGATCCTGCTCCCTCAAAATGTTAAGAGGCTGTGTGAGCCCCCTCGGTTTGGTTTGAAGGCTGGTCATGGAGGTGTTAAGACTTTCTTGACTTGGTATAGGTAGCATTTAACATATATGGCCAAAGGCTGTTACAGCTCATCACATAAATCACAAAACATATATCACCTTGACTTGAAATAGCTCCCTGGTCCTACTGAGTTGGACATAGACATTTTTTTTTCCATTCAGTCTCACCAAATTCTCTTCCTTACAGTTTTCATCTCAGAGGCTTGTGGTACTTACTTGCAGGTCTAACAACCGCCAGTATTGCCTTTTTGGTGTTCAAAGGGAACCACCCAATTTCACTTCATTCTCTCTTTTTCCCCATTTCATTGTGTCACCAACAAAAAACTGCCTGGATGTAATGTACTATTTATTTCAGTGACAAAATCATGCAGGTAGAGCCCCATTCAAGGTATTTTTGTCACCCCAACCAAGGGACAACCACCCCCTCCTGGGCCTGTAAATCCACCAGCCTTATATTGCCACAGAGGCTTTAGCTGGACCTAGGGACATAGACCCAGAGACCATGCAGAACACTGTGCTGCCCCAAGCAGTCTAACTTAGGTGGCTTGCCTGGAGAACCTGTCCTGCATATAGTTCTTATATGAACGTTCAGAAGCAAGAAGTTCAGGTCTGAAATGTAGATGCTGAGAATGAAACAGGGAATGCCATCTCCTTTGTGCCATTTTTATGCACATAAGAACTACCTTTGCCCATTGTCTTCAACAATCAAGGAGAATGACCTCCTATTCACAAGTCTCCTAACAACCAAATCCACAGTGAGCCTGGAAGAAAAAGGCCGAAAAACTACATAATCTGTCCTCTGACATCAAAAATGGGGTGGGCACCTCTGGTAACCAAGCCACACACAAAAATAAATGACTATTCTTAAGCAGGATGGCTTTCAACCGTGAAATGGAAAGGGCTTTGGCTTAGCTCACATGGAATCTCCTGTTGACAAAGCAGCCACCATTTTGAGCAAGCTAGAAGAATAGGAGAACCTGAAGGTTCTGGTAGCAGCAAGAGCTACAATGTTAAAACAAGGCTAGGCTATTAATCCTGTTAAAGTGTTTTCTTCTCAAGGAAAATCCTTTCCTGGATGACATCCAAAAAAATCATCACTTTGGAAAGGTTTGGAAATAGCTGGAAAAAAGCATTAACTGCTTGTTTTAAAATCAACATTTCATAGTTCCGTGAACTAATTCTTGACTGAGAAAGTCAGACATTTTGAAATGTTATATCTCTGTGTGTATCCTTTTCAGTAGAATTTTAATTGTATAAGGTAGGGTTACATAGCTTTGCTCAGGGGGATGAGTGTGTAGGGGGCATATACCATCCCTAGTTGGATAGAAATTGACATTTTAAAGAGTCGCATTATCAAAAGACCTACATGGAAGACTACAGCTCATTGCAGTTCTCTATATCTGTCTATCACATACAAAGTCCTTCATGGCCTTGGACCCTCATATCTGCAGGACTGTCTTATGTGATACCACTTACTGGTTGTTTAACATGCCACGTTTAATAGTTATCCTTTGTTCAGATTCATGGGTTGTTTCAGATTTCTGCAGCTGCAGTCCTGTTGCACTGCATATTAGATGTCTCATCCTACTGACTGCATTGACTTACATTGTATAATCCGTCTTGAGTCACGGTGAGAAAGATGAAAGTAAGGTGAATAAGTACATTTCTATAAAATCACTGTTCTGTTAGTTTCATGTCACCACTGCGAGAGCTGGTGTGATGTTACAGAACATTTATGAAAATTTCAGCTATTTTTTTTTTGGGGGGGGGACAGTCATAATCAAGTAAGATACAGAAAACCCTCAATAGTGTTAACTTGTACAGCCACTGTAAGGACATTAGACTTTGGAGCAACAGATTCATGGAGAGGAGATGCTATGAGCTTTCAGCTCCAGAAGCTGAACTTCACAGGTTGGGGGGGGGGGGGCTCAACAAGTTCTAGATACAAAGATAACTTTATAAAAATACCACTAAATCTCTTTCTTATCTTTCAGACTTCATGACTAACAACAAACAGTCACAACAATGGCTATCCTGCCCCAGCCATTAATCCAGCCAGGTCTGAGAAATCTATGCTCTTACTATTTTTAAACAGTAATGTTGCAAGAATAGAAGTATCAAGCAGGAGGGAGGCAGAAAATGGGTAGTCCTGATAATCTCTCTGCCTCTTGCACACTTCCACCCTTTTTGGAGTTGCCCTTTGTTCTAGACTCACCTTGCATTGGCTTTGGTTTTACTGCTGCTTCAACTATTGTTCTACATCCATGGTAGATTTTGGGGAAGTGCACTCAAGAATTCAGCACAGCAAGCAATTCTTCTTTTACCTCCCCCTGGCTCTTTGTCCAGGTAACTGTCCTCGACAACGTTCCTTTCTCCTTGAAAACTCATTATTGGCCTTCCCAGTTTTGTGCTCAAAACTCAATGCAAATATTTATCCCATCTATTTCCCCCTCTTCAGAAATCACGAAGGAGGAGGAGGAGGAGGATGCCTGTGCAATCAGTGTTAGAAGAACTTGGGCATACATACAAAGACATTTCTGCAAGACCTTAAGGGGCTGATATTTGAATAACAGTTTAACTGCAATAAAAATGTACAGCTTTGCACTGCAGTGATTAATAAGGGGACATAAGGACAGGCTACAAACATCTGAAGGGTGAAAACTGCCGTAGAGGAACAGGAGCATGTATTGTAGATCCCTGAGGACACCAGGATGAATAATGGGATGGAAAGGATTCTGGCAGCTAGAACTGATTTGGGGAGACCCTAATCAGGAAGATTCACTAAGCTTGCACAATATTCCTGCCTTGGAAAAATGGGGCAAGTTTCACGGCTAGAAACCGTTAAAGCCAAACAGGAAGACACACACCAGACTCACAGAAAAGGGTGTGTGAATACTTAGCAAGGAAAGAAGGTAGCCAGGAATGGGAAGAGGGAACTTGCTTGGAGGCCATATTGAAAAAAATCAAAGGTATTTTGTTGGGGACCCCTCTAGATAGTCTATTAGCAAATCTAGGCTCTGGTCATTGCATAAGGATAGCATTAAACTCTATTGTAGGAAAAGGACCTTGACAATGTGCAGTTATTTTGCTGTGACAGCTGCAATACTCTTTCTGAAAGGGAAAGCAGTACTATAATTGAGAGTTCTTCTAAAGCCACATGGACAGATGAATAATGCCTCATTCTGCAGTGATGGGGATGTCAAAGCACAAAAACTATGCCCACTGACCTAGCTTCTGCTGCGTGGATCCACAAATGTGGCTTCCCCAGTGATCACTGTGTGTAAGGCAGACCACATAAATAGCAAAATGAAACATAAACAGAATGAACAGAAATAGGAAGCATATGTGTAAAGCACACACACTTGACCCCAGCCCACCAAAAATATCCTTGCTTTCTGTTCTCAGTTTAATCCATCAAAATCTATGAGTTTCTAATTATATAATACTCTAATATTTACCCTACATGTTGCTTGAGTTTACAGACTGAGAATATTAGGGAGATTATCATCACAGTACTTTAATATATATTTATGTAGATTACTAAGTCATTGAATAGTATTTACCTTACCACTTCCTGTATTTCCTCCACAGTTTTAAAAATAAAACAGATCAGATAATAAACAATAGATTAATGTTTTATAAATTAAGGAATATGGGCAAATGGCACTTGACTTCATAGTTCCAAAGAGGGCAAAGATTAACGACCATGACCTAGCCCCACCACAAGTGAACCAAGAAGCCCAAGTATGCAGCTGTGTGCCCCGTGCCACTTGCGACCTGCACATTTAAAAAGGTGCACCCTTTGATACTGTTCCTGCTCATTTTCTTTAATTTCTCAATAATATCATATATTGAACAGCAGGGCTTTGTCTTAAAACGGGTTGGCTCCTGTAGATCCATTCTACTAGTGAAAGCACTTCCCTCCAATGGAAGAAATCTTGCCCAGTGCAAGACGGTTGATCGGGGAAGGCTCCTTCCACTGAAGGAAAGTGCATCTGCTAGCAGAACAGATTTGGTGGATCCAACTGATTATTGCAGAAGGAAGTTCCAAAGGTCGTTTCGGTATGCTGAGGCAGTTTTTTCAGCACTCATACGAACAAGGTGGCAAAAGAGATCAACAGCTTGTCCACGTTTTTTGGGGGGGAAACAAGAGAATATTCAACCTTAGTTAGACAAGAGAGGCTTCAGCAAGGAAAAGAGCCCACCAAGACTGCTTTGGCATTCAATAAGCTTACCTCCTGGACAGTGCCTCAGCGCCATTTTACATCTTCTGGATTCTGCAATCGTTGGGCATGGTATCGTGTCCTTTGCTGGCTTTTTCACAATCTGCCTTGTTCTTGTTTCTAAACCCCACTTAAATCCACACGTCTTGTTATTTCGGCTGCAAGTTCCCCATTCACTCCATGGACCCACTTCGCAGCCTTCTGAGGAAACCAATTAAAAAAAAAACACATATAACAAGTTAGCACCCTTCTGGTGTTGGAGTTCCAAAGTCTTGGCCTTCAACACACACACACACACACACTGTTAAGGGGACTCACAAAATCAGCAATGGCAGGTTTTACTATTTTGTGTGGCTTTAATACCGCGTAAAGAAATCACCACTGTGTGACTTTATTCATCCTGACCACTGCCAAATGAATAGGACTCCTTCAGAATCCAGTCTTGAAATAAGGAGGAACTGTGATCTTTATACTTCTGTGACACTCTAATTTATTTACTGTTGTTTCCATCCTTCTTTTCAAAACAAATTCCTTTAAATTATGGGAAATTCTGATCTTGCCTCTGTTTCCTTGTTGACACATACTACACTTCTATATTCACATAAACCAATATGGGGAAGGGGGGGGGGAGACTGCATGGTATAGCCCAGTGTCATCAGCTATTGAAAGCTATGCAGGGTCAGATGAGAGTCCACCAAGGAAGACTCTACAGAGCAAGGCAATGGCAAACCACCTCTGCTTTTCACTTGCCTTGAAAGATGCTTGCTAGGGTTGCTGTAAGTCAGTTGCAACTTGACAGCACTAGAGGAAGGAAGGGTACTTTAAAGCCTTATGTGGCCTGGGACTGACATATTTAAGGGACCGCCTCTCTCCATATGTGCCCTGGAGAGCTTTGTGCTCTGCAGAGAACTATCTGCTGGTTATTCCCAGCCCGAAAGACAGTCACCCAGCCTGGTGGAACATGCTCCTGACTGAGATCAGGGACCTGTTACAGTGTCACAGGGCCTGCAAAATGGAGCTGTTCCACCAGGCCTTTGGTTGCGGCAGTGGACATCCACCAGCTGACCTCCCTGCTGCTGTGGCGGTAGGCCACTATTAACGAGACCTTCATGGCTCAGCTTCAGCCCATTCATTCCCAGCTGTAGGAACTGAAATTGAAATTTGCTGCACTGCCCACTTTAAACTAGTTTTAACTGGATTTATTGCATTAATTTAATGTATTGAATATTTTAGAGTGTATTGAAATTTATTGTTGTGACCCACCCTGAGCCCACCTGCGGAAAGGGTGGGATATAAATCAAATACATAATTTTTTTTTTAAGTTCCATCTTTTTCTGACTACGTAAATTAATTGTCTGTGGCAGAAGGAGGAGGAGGAGGAGGAGGAGGAGGAGGAGATTGGATTTATACCCCACCCTTCACTACCCAAAGGGAGTCTCAGAGCGACTTACAAACTCCTTTCCCTTCCCCTCCCCACAACAGACACCCTGTGAGGTAGGTGGGGCTGAGAGAGCTCTGACAGAAACTGCTCTTTGTCAAGGACAGCTCTTATCAGAACTATGGCTTGCCCAAGGTCATCCAGCAGGTGCAAATGGAGGAGGCGTGGGGAATCAAACCCGGTTCTCCCCAATTAGAGTCTGCGCACTTAACCACTACACCTGGAGAGGAAGCAAGTGTGCAAAAATTGACAATGTCTCACAGTCCTCATGGGTATGCATTACTTTGTGTGGGCCTGGTAAGGTCAGCAGTTTGTTGCCTCTGAATGAAACCACATATACAACTCAGTGTGGGGCGTGGGAGTCATGGGGGGGGGATCCCATATCCTGCCCATTGCCAAGCCTGGTGCAGCTCCAGGCCCCAGCACCAACATTTGAGCCTGGTGTCCATCTCTGCTGCAGCTGGGCCCAGCGCAGCTGCCAGCCTCCTCTGCCACCACAGCCGGGCTGGAGCAGCTCTGTTCTGAGCTGGTAAGAGCGTTGTCTTATATTTTTGTCTATATATTTTAGGGGTTTTTTTCGAAAAAAAATTCTTTAAATCTGTTTCATGTTCATGTCGTCCCGATCCATAGATATAGGTATCTGCAGATGGGAGCCACACGTCACTAGCAGTATATAGATATGAAAAGAATATATAGCAATCTGACTGGATAGTCAAAGCTTTCTCCTCAGTTAATTAAGTTTCAAACAGACCTGCAAGTCACCAAACTCCAATAACTTTTTTTCTTTTTAGGAGGTGATTTCATAAAGAGATGCTATACACGGTTCCTCCCCCCCTTTTTTAAGTGCAAAGAAAATCAAAACAACTAAGCAGAGGATAGCTTAGAGCATCCCTGCAATTTACTTGGAGGAAAGCCATCAGGTTTCAGAAACCAAGATTCCCTAGGAACCATTACTCTTGATTTATTAACGGTAAGAAGATGAATTGCATTGCTCTAACTTAATTATGGCACATTAACGGTTTCCATATATCTTATGCAGCAAGAACCCTAGCCAAAAAAATTTATGCAGTGATGTAATGTGTGAACTTGTAAACCTCAGCTCAATATCCAGAGAGGTTAGAAAGTTCACAAGAGACTCATAAAAAAGACATTATAACCCAAAGAGCTTACACATAGCCCAACTGGGCAAAGCGAAGAATAAATTCAGACGGCACTCCAAAGTCATACAAAGACTGCAACAAAAAATAAAAGAAGCTGTTGATCTGGAGCTCATATCCTACAAGCACTCACCCACACATTCCATTGTCTCCTCTAAGGGCGCAAAGCCATCAGGACATTCTCCAAAGCATCGGCCTCGGTAGAGATAAAACCCAGGCTTGCACTTTGTGCAAAAGTCTCGGCTAAAGCAAGAATCGCAGTTCTCTATTCTGCATCCTGAAAGGGGGGGGGACAAAGCACACACACAAAAATCAGTTTTTCCACCACTTTGAGCAATACAATAGCACCTCCCACCCAAAAAATCCAAGCAAGGTTCCACAACTGAGATAGGTGTAGATCTCGACAACATGCAGGACCAGGGCTTACTTCTCCTTGAACATGATACATTGCACTGCCTCAACTCCATTCACATTCAGAAATGTGGGGTGGGAGAAGTGTGAAGAAATGCACCAAATGTGTATGGGAACATTATGAGAAATGTCACCACACATTAGAGAGGGAGAAGGGGAAGAATTCATCAATGGGATGCCATTGTTGTTCAAAATATTTAGGTCCACTCTCAATACCCATTAGTGACATCAGCTAGGAACCTAGACAGTAGAGCCGTGGTTCAGTGGTAGAGCATCTGTTTGGCAAGCAGAAGGTTGCACGTTCAATTCTAGGCATCTCCAAGCAAGAGGATTAGGTAGAAGCTGATGTGAAAGACCTCTGATACCCTGGAGAGCCACTGTTGGTCACATTATTAATAGGCAAGGCAGTTTCATGTATTCACGTGTTCAGGTAGTATAGTTTTGATTTCCAGGACCCAAATTTCTTACTTGCCAGATTTTAGGTTTTAAACTTTTCAGACTTTTAATGTATGACGTTATGTATGCTACTTCTGAGCCCAAATTTGTGAGAAAGCAACCGGAAAACTACATAAATAAATAACCTGCGTTTAAATTGCCAGGGGGCAGCTGCTCACCAATTTCTAATATTTTGAAAAGATAAATGTTTCTTCATAAACGAGTCAGTTCAATTTAAAAAAGGAAAAGCTATCATAGTATGATCTTCTGTCATTTCCAACAGATACAAATGTACCTACAAAGTCATGTGCTAACCATTGCTTCCAATACTGGAGCAAAAACATTCTTGAAGCTGATTATTTTTTTCATACAGGGTACAAAAAAAGAAATTGGAAATATTTTGGTTAACATTAAAAATATGAAGACAACCCCCCCAAGGGTTCAAAACAATGTTTTTACAGTTACATATGTCGATCAAATCATCATCACATTTCACATTTTATTCATTTAAAACAAATTGTTGGTCTTAAAGATGCCACTGGACTCAAACTTCGTCCTCCTTTCAATCTAACAGAGGTGTTGGGTCTCCTGAGATAACAGGTCCTCTCTTGTACTCAAAAAAACAGCCACATGTGTGCAATATTAAGAATTCCCTAGGAAGACTGCTGAAATACATTTGGGCCAGGTATAACGTTTTTCTAATGACTAAAGAGGAATCTTTATGTTAAAACATTTTTATCACACTTGTTTTGGCTTTGTTATCATCATCTTTTTGGGTGTTTGGTGCAACCCTCTTTCCCATCATTTAACCATGTGAACCAAAAAACAACAACAACCATAAGTTGTTCCCTATATCTTTCTCCCTTGGGGGACCTTCTTGCCCATTCCCTATCTTAATTTAATAGAAATGCATATGAAGTTGTCCTGTGTAGCATCTTAATTTTCAGTATTTGGCCATATATAGCTAGATATAATAGCATATGTTGTGATAAACGTTCCTGGTAACCATTTCTGTTTGTTTGCATGAATCCAATTTATTGGAGTGTTTAGAATTACACTTTAGACAACATCAATGGTTCCTTCTCATATAGTTAACATGGGAACTAGGATTTCAGCTTTCATTGTGGACACAGGTCTCAATGCCAAATGTGGTTCACACGTAAAATCAATTGCAAGGCAGAAAAGAGCAAAGAAAGCATGTATTCAACCTTCTAAAGCTCATATTCTATGGGGCATGGGCTCACATTGCACCTAAGTTTCAGGACTCAGCAAACCGAAAGCAGTTATTCCTATATTTGGCTGGGCAAAGGATTATTCCTTTGGGCGAGACAGAGCTGGGGACTTCTGGTATCTCTATAGTTTGTAATAGTTATTTTCTTTGCAAATATTAAACAGAAAATAATGGAAAACAAATATGGACTCCGACATTAAGCATCAAATCTGCTAAATGAATCAGATTCCCAGAGAATTTCTGTACCCCAGGGCTTGTACTCCTCCTTAATACTCAGAATAAAATAAGTGAACAATATAAAGTTTATTTTGAATCAGGCTTGAATTCTTCATGTTCATGTCCATATGTAAATTAACTGTACAATGGGATGCTAGAAAATAGATCTCCCGGGGCATAGTGGGACAGAAAGATGAAAAAAAGAACATGGAAAAGCAAACTGCCCATCATCCACAGGAAAAATGGTTGTCTTTTCCCAATATGTAAAGTATATCAAAATAAGAAACAGAAATATGACTTCTGATTTTAAAAAGAAAATAAGTTGGGATATGTTTTTCATTGCCAAGGCCATTTCAGAAATATAAAATAACATAATGATCAATACAAAGAAAAGCATTTCAGACAGAGAGAAGTGAAATATGAAGTTCTGAAAGCAAGGCCAAACATGATCCAGTTTCTCTGGAAAAGTAATGATTTTTACAACTAGTATGGATTACAAAAAAAAGTCTGGAAGACCTTAAATACTCCTGGAATCTCAGTACACATGCAAGCTGTTTGCAAGTATCAGTGCATTTTTCAAATATAAAATTGACTTAAATTTCTATGTTAAATCTAAATTGAATCCAGATAGATTAAAGCAAGAGAGAATTTAAGACGGTCTTTCTGATTCCAGCATGTGTAAAGAAACAGTCTGCAAATTTAGACTGTTACTACTAAGCATGCAAAAGTACTTTGTTGGAAAAATAGTATGACATGTGTAAGGTAGACAAAATATAAACCTGAGTTTGTTTCCTAGCAGTTAAGTTCTCAGAACATAAATTTACTGGTCAACCAGAGATATTAATTACTTACAGTAAGCCATGAAACATTAACACATTAAGCACAATGGGTTGAATCCAACCAGGTTTTTTACCAGCGAAAAAGGAAGCAGGGGTTGCTCTTCGGCCATCAAAAAAGCTATGCTGGGATTCACTGTTCTTGCATGCAGATTGAATTAAGGAGGGTAATAAGATAAGAATTTTTTTAAAAAGGTTGGATCCAACCCAATCTAAACAATAAAGTATAATAAAGAACATCAACTTGACTATTGACCACATAAATCTCCTTTAAGTTCCCTCATAAGTTTCTAAGATACTATTAATATATTATATTACGGTCAGAAAGCCTACTAGTATTATTGGCTTAAGTTAAAAAAATATTTAAGTTTTAAGAACAGGCTTTTCTGAATTCAAACAAAACCCAAACGTTCATTTTTATTTAATAAGAGGTTGATCTGTTCTTCTACATCACCACTGATATGGGTTTTCTGGAAAAAAATTGAATTGGAAAATTTTCCAATGCAAATTGAAATAAATTATTTAAATATTGTTAAGCAAAGTTTAAATAATATTAGTAAAAGAAGGCAAATACACCATGTACAACCACAGGGGCTTGTCCATGCTCCATTTAACTAATCTAAAATGATGGATTTGCAGCACAGCAACCCTGACATATATAGATAAACAGACTATAAATAAGTAGGGCAGAAATTTTTTCATGAAAAAATATAGCATAATAAAATTTTCCATAAAACTGTTTGTTTTTGAAAATTTTCTGCCACATCACTTTTCTATTACAGTTTCTATATTCTATTAAAGCAGTTCACATGCCAGTCTGTAAGTCAATGAATGGTGAATTTCAAGGGAGGTACATTCATACAAGGAACTGTCTGTGCCACATTTAAAGGTAAAGGTTCCCTTGCTCGAAAGCCAGTCGAGTCCGACTCTAGGGTTGCGGTGCTCATCTCCGTTTCAAAGCCAAAAAGCCAGCGCTGTCCGAAGACGTTTCCGTGGTCATGTGGCCGGCATGACTAAACACCAAGGCGTACCCATCGAAGTGGTACCTATTTATCTACTTGCAATTTCTTGCTTTCGAACTGCTAGGTTGCCACATTTGCCTGACATCGGTTGTGCTAAACAAGTACACACATGTGAGGGGAGGTACAGATGAGTTAATCTTCCCTCTCTGGCTGTATTAACTATGAAAATTATCGCCAGCTTGATCCCACCAGATCATTAATGTACAGGGCCCATACATTTCAAAACCTGGATATCCCATGTCCTGAATCCCACAAGGAATGCTTGTGGGAATCCCACAAGGAACAAGATACTGGTGCTCATTCAACAGGTACCTCTTCTGATCTCCAGTAATTACTGGATCAACTAGGCTTCACAAGGTTGACTCAGACTGGTACAAAATCTGCATTCCGCCCTTCCAGGGCAGCTGACTGGCTTAGAAGCTCCCAGGCTTGATCCTGGGCAGTCTACTTAAAAACAGCCTGTTGTGGGATGTCTCTCTGATTCAGACTCATGAAATTGCATCCAGAAGGAAATACTGTACTAAATGGACCAACAGTCTGATTATGTTATCAACGGTTATCAACTCTGGGTTGGGACATTTCTGGAGATTTTGGGGTGGAGCCTGGGGAGGGTGGAGTTTGTATAGGGGAGGGAGCCCAGCAGGAGTGTGGTGCCATACAGTCCGCCCTCCAAAGCATCCATTTTCTCCAGAGGAACTGATTTCTGTATTCTGAAGATTTCCAGGCCCCGTCTGAAGGCTGGTAACCCTAGGTCCTTTGCAAGCTGTGTGTACCCCTCACCCTAATTCATCATGTCCCTTTTTTCTGCAGAGCCTGAGACATGGAATAATTTTTAATAAGAGAAGAATCCAAAGACTGCGAAGATCTTTTATCCCCATGACCAATTAAGAGATAACCTCTGTTATGGCGCAAACTGGCTTTGGGGATACAAAAGATTTAAATAAAGTACCACCCAGATAGTTACTGTGATAGATCCACTCACCTATAATACTCTAATCAAATGCTTAAGTAATAGTTCATGCAGCTTTGGACAGAGATTAGTTTCCTTCTACCAGAAGAAAACACTTTAGGTAATGCTAGAGATTAAGTTACATGATAAGCTGTAAGGGTGGGGGGGGAAACAATC